TTCTAGTTTTCTTTTTACAAAGAATGAACTACATTTAGATCAAATGTAAAATAATGAGACAATTACACATAAGTTAATGCATTATAGTCTACTTTGATCGGATCAAAATGTTTGTCTGATGTTTAAACATAAATACAACTGAGAATAATTCAATTTAACAGATTCATTAGAATGTATTGCAATAACTTTGAACTATACTATAGACGAGATATATAAATAGATAGATAGATAGATAGATATCTTTATTAACCGATAAAAGATTACTTTTTACCTAACGACTAAATCTTTCGTCTATTACATAATCACTTTTAAACTTTGTGCAAAAGAAAACTAACAATATACAAATGTCAAAACAGTTGCTACAATAGTATAATTTTTATATAACAATATTCTTATGTAATCTATGCATGGATGTTTGTATTACACTTTCTTTTTCTTTTTCGTTCTAACGTATGAAAATGATTTAACAAAGTAATTTTTCTCTTTTTTTTAAAAGAAAAAAGAAAAGAAAAGCAGTTGATGCTACGGGATAAAACATATGCTTTTCTTTTTTTTGTTTTCTCTTTTTTTGTAACATTTGTCTCTGTCTGGTTAAAATATTATTGATATACACATATCTATATATTAGATTCAATTGAATAATCTGTATTTAAAAATATAATTACAATGAGATGACAATTTGTATGGTAAGCCATTATTAAACATCTAGAAATAGCTCATAATCACAATTGATTGATCACTGGGTGGCGATCAATGTCATGCGTGTCTAGTCCTTTTTAGTGCAGATCGAATGCTATCAATCATGTTACAATATGGCCACCAGTCTAGGTGACTCGACACTGTGGGTTTCCTGTCGACTACCTCCAATCACCATAGCTCATAATATTCATAATTACTCAATCAAATATCGATTGATGTACTTGTTGGAGGTTCACAGAATGTTATAGTATATAATTGTGTAAACAGTAGTGTTAATATTTCAACTTATTTTACTGAGGGTAATTTTGAGAATGAAGATGTAATAACTATGAAAAATAAATATAAAATACATTTGAATATCAATGATAACCTAGTAATGAAAGGAATATATTTCAATGCTTTCTGGTCATAGGTATTTCAAATATGAACACTTAATTAACGAGTTGAATTACTTTAAAAGTAATGCTTTTCTAATGGAATAATTCAATACTGATGAATGATGAATGACTAGTTTCACAGGTTAAAGAACTTTATTATGTTTATAAATAAGATCATATTTATCTCATTAAGGTTATAACTTGTTTATAGTTACAACTGTTGCGAATCTTGATTTTGTTTTACGACATATCATGCATAAGCGAAAATGGATGGTGGCTAGCAGTGGAATCCAGGATGCACGTTTCGTCCTATTTGGGACTCGTCAGCTGGATGTACTAGCATCCTAGAGTTGATGTTCACTTCGGGACTTGAACCCAGTACCATTCGCTTCAAAAGCCATCAAGCTATCCAGCTGACGAGTCCCAAATAGGACGAAACGTGCATCCTGGATTCCACTGTTAGTCACTATTCACCTCTGTTTATTAAGCGTATGACTTAATGCTATATCGGGGCGATCCGCACAAGATTTACATATGTCAACAAGAAACTGATCAATTGCGATCCTAAACAATAATGCAAAGATACACGTAAACAATACCATGCATAACTAAATTAATTCGTCTTCGATCAATGTAATTGATATTCGAACTAATGTCATTTGTATGATTGTCGTTTTCACAAACTTTTAGTTATTATAACTGGGACACTTGAATAATACTTTTAAAATAATTATGGTTGTTACCACAATTGATTGATCACTGGGTGGCGATCAATTTCATGCTTGTCTAGTCCTTATTAGTGCAGATCGAATGCTATCGATCATGTTGCAATGTGGTCACCAGTCTAGGTGACTCGACACTGCGGGCACTATGTATTGAGATTTAGATGGTGGTTGGAGGTAGTCAACAGGAAACTATGGACCCGGGTTTCGTGCTACTTGGCACTCGTCAGCAAGGTGTACCTGTAATCTCGAGGGAACTGGTGCTCCCTGGCTGATTCGATCTCGTGTCACCCAACTTCATAGTCAGAGACGTTACCAGTGACCTATCCGAGCCGTGACTAACCTCCTGTAGGACTGAGATGTAATCACAATTGATTGATCACTGGGTGGTGAACAATGTCCTGCTTGTCTAGTCACGGCTCGGATAGGTCAGTGGTAACGTCTCTGACTATGAAGTTGGGTGACACGAGATCGAATCAGCCAGGGAGCACCAGTTCCCTCGAGATTACAGGTACACCTTGCTGACGAGTGCCAAGTAGCACGGAACCCGGGTCCATAGTTTCCTGTTGACTACCTCTAACCACCATCTAAATTATGGTTGTTCAATTACTGACTCTAAACAACTTGAAAATGGATATACATCAATTATTGCAGTAAATATCAATGTATCATCAAGTCTTATCCTGTTGTATCCAAGGTATACATTTCACTTTATTTACATTAAATTTGTCAATATTAAACAGACAATCATAAGATGTAATATTCATTCATCATTCTTAATAGAGCCACAATCTACTGTACTGTAAATTATATGTGAATTGTAAAATCACTTACAAATATTTCAATCGAGACATTTTAGTTACTGGATTTTTTAAGGGTTATAACTGAAGTTACATATGGGATACTGTTTTTATAACTATCCAATTGTGAATGTTCAATGTGTATTCATTCTTTATTTTAAAAATAGATTTGTTAATTAATTATCCCAGTTTTTATTTATCAATTTTTTTTGTTTGAAATATCAATTCTAAGGTATAGAAAATGGCATTTAGTTTTTTCTGTAATGCCGCCAATTTTTAAGCACCGAATTCAAAAAAAAAGAATTTAAAAAGTAGTGTTTATTTCTTTTTGAAAGCAGCGATTTTATTTAATTTTTAATTAATTAGTTGAATTTTTGGGTCGATTTAAGCCAAACTACCATGGAGGCCGAAGTTCTTGGGTTCGACTTCTGTATGCGCGATGCTGAGGTGTCCCGTACTATGATGAAACAGACATCCACTGCCTCCAGGTTTTCCATGATAGTCTGGTTTTAATCAATTCATGAATCCAACTATTAAATTACTGCAATCTCCACAAAAGTCCCCTTTCTGATAATAATTTTTAATTCAAAAGTCTCCAGATTTTTTTGTAAAATTAAATATAGGGATTAGCTTTGTTATAATAAATTATCAATGGATTTGAAATATCCCTAAATGTAAAATTTATAAGTTAATTTCATTAGTACACAATGTGGCACATTACATAGACACATTCATCACAAAAATACTTGGAGTGGAGTATATCTCAATTACTATAGTTTCTGCCCAATGAGTTACAAAAACAGTATTGTACGAACCCTTTTTGACCGCGCTCGTAAACTTTGTTCAAAGGAATGCCTTGACGACGAAATTACTCTCATCACTAATGTTCTACGTGAAAATGCATACCTATTGAAATTCATCCAGAAATATGCGAAAACCAATCTTCGGACAAAGTATGATAGAGTAGAAAAGAAAACACTTGCTTCTAATATTTACGTTTCAAAGGAGACGAAATTGCTGGATTAATTAATCACAGATTAAATTCCGCGTTGAAAGTGGCCTACCTAGCAGCAAAACTGACAACAGTATGGGAGACGAACTCTTCACTCAAAACAAACTAAAATCGACACGTCCTCTTTTCTCAGTAGCTCCAACTGCATTTACCAGTTCACATGTATGCGCCAAAGCATATACATTGGAAGAACTGGGAGAAGAGTGCATGTTAGCATTTCTGACCATGTTACAAAGAACTTGAGTCTGCGAGGGACTAGGGCTCTCAACAGTGCAATAGCCCGGCAATTACTTGACACCGAACATACCATCGACATCCTGCACGCTTTTAAAATTATCAACAGACAAAGAAGTACGACTGCTCTCCGTTCCGCTGAAGCAATCGCGATAAAACAAACATAAACCGGATTTATGCATTCAAGAAGAGACATTAATAAACTTATTATTACCCTGGTAATCCATTTTTTTCTTTGGATTATTTTATTCACTTATTTATTTTAAGTTATGCTCCTCCCCATTACCGAATTCTTAAACCAACATTTCATTCACACATTTCCGCCAACTGATCCTCTTAAATTGTGTTAACTCTTCAAATTCTATTTAATTATTACGTAACCTATCTTATCACTGTTTTAATTCCATGAATCCTTCATTATCTCTGAAATGATAACACAATTTATGAACTTCACTGAACTATTACACCACCCATCCTGAATTATTTCCTTACTTCTAACACCAATATATATATATATATATATATATATATATATATAGTTATCATTGTAAACCCTTGTCATCCCAGTTATTTACATTCATTTGTACCATTTGTTTCACACTATTTCTTATCTCAATGTAAAATTCTATTACACATTTGGTTGTAAGCAGCTGACGAGAAACCACGAAATATTATGAATTCATACTACTCTGCATCAATATTTGTTCTCGCTTTATTTAAATTCATAAAGGGAACTAATTGCATGAAACTAATATGTTTCGTTGAATTTAGAAGTCAAAAATTTAACGTATTAATGAGAGTAGATAACTTATCAAGCATTGCTTTGTGTTTTCCACACACACGCGCACACACAGTTCTATGAATGTTGGGTTTCACATATTAACTATTTGTAACAATAGTTTCTAGATATCGTTTTGCATATGAAAATTGTTATATTAATTAGGAGAAATACAGATATATAGTTCATTTCTTTGTGGATTTAGGAGCAGTATTGTTTAAGTGCTCTTAGCCAGGATAAAACAGATTTTCAAAAGTTACGCAAACAGTTTCAAATGAATAATGAACGAAAAAACCAACATTTCTTCATGTCAAGTGATAAACTGTTTATAGGCAAATATTAAATTTGTTTTAAAAAAAGGTTCCTTTATCAAATTACCTCTTAAAACAGTTCTTAATTTTGCCAGTTCTTTATGCCATCGTCCTAAGTAAGTTGATAAACTTTGATGCAATTCTTCCGTAGTTTTCTGTAATAATCCTAATTCCATTTGAAATGTACAACATGTATGCTTTGGTAAATCGCTATCCGACGAGTAACACAAACTTTGATGATATAATTGTGAATGATTAGCATCCCAAGTCAAGTCGGATAAACTTCTACCTTGACCAGCATGAGCTCGATATGTATCCAGAAAGTTATACTCCAATAATTGATTAAGTTGTGTCTCAGAGAGCCATAAATATAAAGATTCTTTAGCATTTCTTGAATTTTCATCTACCGTTGTTGAAGTGGTTGTGTTACTAGTACGACCATTATCTCGTGATAATTGTCGATTTTCTGTATTCGGCTGTTGTCGTTGTTCACTTTGAGTAGTTGAATTCACTAAAAATGTACATGAACCAAAGAAATAGGTAAAGAAAGTAGAATTCAGTTTTATTTTTGAAGTTGTTATAAATATTTTTAACATACTATACTGCTGGCTCAGACGTCCATAGGTTAACCAATCTTGGAAGAGACTTAAGTTCCTTGGTTTGTTTCTTCTTCTCTATTGTTTAAAATTCAAGTTTTAAAAAATTCCTGGTAATCTACAAATTGTCCAGGAAGTCATTATCAAGCATTCAAATACAAGAAGTAACAGTTTAGACTTTTATCTTCTAAATGAATATATTCTAATCATTAAAAATATCTCTACCATAACTTTATCTATCCACTAAATTGCCCATTTTCCGGATTTTAAAAAATTAACTTTTTTAGTGATATTGTGATGTATGCTACTTATGTCTGTCGACATAAGCAGTATATAACACCAATCGTAAGTGGAAAACGTGTCAGCAGAAGGCTATGAAGGTCGACTTGAAGAAAACAGAAATGGAATTAAAAAACAACTATGAATTGGAAGAATCATACAGAATATGAAAGAGAACTAATGGGAATTTTCAAATTAACTATTTAATGTATAGTTCTTATATTTTACCAAGACAGTACTCTGAATAAGTGGCTTACACTGTATCACCATAGTATGCTTGTCATAACTTTAGATTGAATGAGTTCCATTGACATGGTCTGTTTGCAATCATGTATTGTTTTCATTAGTCAAAGGTGAATTTTATGATATTTTACTTATCCAAATACGACATAATTTACATTTGATCAGTGTTTCTAGAACTCTGTCGTATCTTTTTTTTTAAAAAAAAAACATCTTTTTAAGTGAATCAGCAAAACATCAGAACAGTATGAAACATAATCAGTTTTATACATCTACATTTTTATTCATTGTATTGCTTTAAATTATTATTCGGAAAATAGTAAACATACGTTAATTTTCTATGGATATTTCATCTGTATGTGAGATCTCTTAGATGCAAATTAACATAATGTCATCGTTTATTTTTCTTTAGAATTTGTAAAATGTTCAATGGGCATAACAAAGTACTTGACTGATAGTCTATCTTAGTTTAAGACATTTCAGTGATGAACGAATAATCCTATAAGTGAATGAATTGTTAGATAACCATGTCTCTTGGTAGACAGGACAGATCACAGGACTTAGTGTCGTACTTATCTCAAGATCAGAAAGTACCCCCCAAATGCCTTGGTACGGCTGAGAGTAAGGAGAATCAGCTCTCCCTCTCGGAATACTCTCACATGGTCACTCCTAGACAGCTACTGACAGGGAAGTTCTACTCACTGCCTTCTCGCCACACTACTGTTGTTTACCAAATTGAGAGGACGAAAAGTGAATGTTCGGTGCTTTAACCGGATTGATGGATATGGAGGATCCAACTAAGAGAGTTGGAAAACCCTGATTCCGAACCAATGATGCACATGGGCTCCATGATCGTGAAAGAACGAATGGTGTATGAACCAATTGTTGATCACGGGTTGCCAAGGGACTGTATCTCTTGACGTTGTTGCACTACCGTGTAGATCGGACCTTTAGGTCGAAGGCTCCGGGCGTGGACTCCTAAGAAAACCATCTGTGAGGTTTGGGAGTCTGGACAGTATTCCAGCCTCACGCAAATGGAATGATCTATGTGGCGCATTTGTATTCGATACCCATTTGTACCAATGTTTCTCTGTTTGAATAAATAATAATAAAATTTCAGAATGTCATCGGTTCAATCTTGTATGTAATTTTAAGCCATACTTACTACATTATAGAAGATTATTTTTGAAAGTATAAATATTCAGACTATATTATCTAATGGTTAGATACATTTTAAAATCTTTATAAATGTAATTAGAAAACTAAGTCAACTATAACATTATTATTCATAATAGAAAATTAGACAATGGTCGGTTAGTATTACATTAAAGGAATTGATATCAGCTATTTCCTATCATTGTCAACATAGTCCATTATTCCTATGAGTGATGTTTTTCTTTTGTGTGTGTATGTGTATGTGTAGAAGAAGAAGAATATGGGATAAATGAATATTGCCCACTTTTAAATGATACCGCTAACTAAAATATTCAGAAAATAATAGTTTAAATAGTTTAATTGTATACGATTAGTTTTACTTTGATCAGTATAAATGAAAACATCTTACCACAACAAGAGGAGAGTATAGTCTGCTCATATATCATGGTAGAATTTAGTACATCTAAAATATGATACAAATCGATCGATGTTTTGAGTTCATTTGTGTAAAGAAAGATACAATGACCCCCCCCCTATGTTACTTAAATTTCCATCAAGTTGACTAGAATTGAACCTTTGAATGTTTATTCAAATAATCCAATGACATTATGCTTATTTTAATCATTTAAAGATCTTAAATTTGATCTCCGGTTCACTTATTGATCTATAACCTTAAATGAGAATGTAAAAGTTGTCTTCTATGAAATTTATGTTATAAACATACATATAATAATGTAATCGTATAAAATTGATCATATACTACTGATTATTTTCAATATCTATAACTTTTGCCTTGATAAAAAAAATTACTGTACTTTCACAACATTCGTAAATAGGTATAAATTAAAAATTATACCAGCTAACTAATTTCATTAATAAATAGGAACTTTTGTCTAAATTTGTATTGAATAGTTTCAGAATATTTGGACTCCAAGTTGATGTGAGACATTAAAAAGGAAGAATGTATTTGTATCTCAACGATTTCAAATTCTTTCGCTGAAATTTTAAAAATACATTCTTATTCTTCAATGCTTTTATCATTATTACAGTATTAGAAAAATAATGAGGTCTTAATAAAATATAATTAGAATTTTGTATGTATCCTTTTAGTTTAATAAAGATTTTTATTACACAGTGGTGCAAGAACATATATGTAATTACGGACTGTAGATTTATTGGTGAGACTATAATTTATGGATGACCTTTGAACAAAGCTATACTGAACTTCAGAGTGTCTTTCTGATAACTAGGATCAAAATGAGAGTTATAAACTAGTGTGAGAAAATAGAATTATGATTTACAGTTAGTAATTAAGGTTAGAAATTAGATTTAGGGTTTTCATCATGAACTGACATTATCTATAATGCCAAAACTCTATTTATCCGAATGAATAAGTAAATTTCACTCCAAAACCCGACACTTGTTATCTTATACATGATTGGTTCGTTCATAAATTATAGTCTCGACGATTTATTTTTCTAGAAAACTAAGCAAATCGTCTTTAAGGATACAATATGATTTCATATCATTCATCTACGGTTCCTATCATAATCATTCAGTGTAAGGAAGAAAGAAAAGAAATCTATTTTCTGTTCTATTAAGAATCTCTCAGAGAACTTTGATTCATTCGGTAAGTTGTCTAATATACCCTACAAAAATTTAACAAGTGTCTAGGAAATGAACATATATAAGATGATTATTTCATAGTTTCAACTTCAAAAGACTTTCGTTTTCATTATTTCCATCATACTTTTTTGTTCACGAATAACTTTATCGTTCTAAATATTCGAAAATCTTTGCTTACCATTTATCAATGTTGAAATTCTTTTTGTTCTTTTATAGTTGATAATGTTATGTTCAATCTTACTCTCTCACTCTCTCGGTGAGTGTGTGTGTGTTATTTGAAAATGGAATCATTCACAATTTAAACACACTGGTAAAAAACAAACATATTTCACCGAAAATTCACATTTTTCCGCCAGTCAACTTTAATAGTCTTGAAATTCAGTCAACAGATCAAGAATATAACACTTGACATGAGATAAATGAGATGGGATGTTCTAAAATAAAAACTTCACTATATATATATATATATATATATATATATATATATATATATATATATATATATATATATATATAAGGAAGTGAATGAAAGGTATGGCTGTTACAATGCACTCCTTATATTTATCTAACACAATTAAATGTTTACTGAAAGAATTTAGGAAAATAATTAATTTCACATAAATTCGAGGAATAAATTTACGTAAGGTGAATGTGTTCATTTAGTTTATTGTCATTTGAATGAAGACGTTTATCAAAGTTAAAATGTATTGCTTTGGTTACATCTATCGGTTTTCTAAGTGAATAAATAATATTTCAACATAAACATGAAAATACTCCAAAAGAATTTTGCATTAAATAATCTGATACGGCCGACGTTGGGCGAGAGTTAGCTATCTCTCTTGAAATGCTCTCACATGTCCAAGTGTATACAGCTACTGCCATGAAGGTTCTACTCACTGCCTTCTCGCCACACTACTGTTGTTTACCAAATTGAGAGGACGAAAAGTGAATGTTCGGTGCTTTAACCGGATTGATGGATATGGAGGATCCAACTAAGAGAGTTGGAAAACCCTGATTCCAAACCAATGATGCACATGGGCTCCATGATCGTGAAAGAACGAATGGTGTATGAACCAATTGTTGACCACGGGTTGCCAAGGGACTGCATCTCTTGACGTTGTTGCACTACCGTGTAGATCGGACCTTTAGGTCGAAGGCTCCGGGCGTGGACTCCTAAGAGAGCCACCTTCTTTTCTCTGGGCACCCGGAGAGACTCACAGTCCACACACAAATCAAGTGACTTATGTGACGCATTTGTATTCGGTGCCCCTTTGTACTAATATTCGTGTTTTCAAATAATAAATAATAATCTAATCAAATTGGATGATTTCTTGAGATTAATTTATTTGGTGCTGCCGTTGCATTATATGCAATATACGAAAACTAAACACTCATGGTTTCGTACGGGTTAGTACGGCGTATTTACAATCTTAACACTCTATGTGTGATCAAGACTTTTGTCATGCAATACCCAAAACTTTAATTATAAACGCTAATACAAATTAATGGGAAAGCATGAATGTAGTAAATCAACAGAATTTAGGTCATTTGTTGAAATCGATCTGAATGCCTTGATATTCAGTGGAGTATTAGACGTGCACTAATAAGTATTCCA